CTTTCTGTCCTAAAATCTAAGAGATTGATAAGAACCCCCTCCACCTTTCTTTTTTTTCTCCCTCAGCTTCTTCTTCTTCCTTTTTTTTTTTTTTTTTGTTCCTTCCCCTTTCAGCGTTTGTAGCCGGTTGGGAGACTAAAGTTACAAGTGTGTGGCATTAAAGCGGAGGCAGGATGAAATTGGAGGCTCGCAGGGAAGGATAAGGACAGGCTGGGAAAAAGGGAAGTTGGCAGCGGTGGCGGGTCAACGGCGCGACTCGGAGCCGTAGCCGCTGCACCAGGTGTCCACTTAATTCAAATGATACTATTATTCATAGAGGCAGAGGAAGAGGATTGAAACCACCCGCCGCCGCCGCCACCGCCGCTGCCCCCGCTTTCTCCAAATCATTTGCAACTGAATACAGATATAATCCTGGAAATATAAGTCTCCATTAAGGCGATCCCATTTAGACAACAAGGCGGCCATTGTGCAACATGTTGTGTGTATAAATCAGTGTGTGAGAGAGAATAAGAAAGAAAGTAAAAAAAAAAAACAGGAGGGAGAAAAACGTAAAACACGGAGCTGGAGGAGAGATTTGAGAATGTCACCTTTTCACAGATGACAGTGACTCCTCAGGGGTCTCCGTTACTCCACAGGGGTCGCTGTGACTCCTCAGAGGGTTCACACCGGCTCTTGTCGACTTTCTGATACATTCATTTTGCTCTTTTCTGTTTCAGTGATAAAAAACAAAACAAAAAAGATGTCGTAAAAACACGACCTGAAAAAGAAAGTAACGTTAATTTCATACATTTTAATCCAGTCTCAGAAATACTTTCAGATAATCCGCCGTGTTCTTACGTTTGCTAATTAGCTGCTAAAGTCGTCAGGCTAGGCTACTGTAGCGCTCACAACTTTCATGACGTTTGTCCAAAAAGTTTGTTAAAGTTGTAGGTTAGGGCTGTCACGGTACGTGTATATTTGTTCCGAACCGTTCGGGACTTAAATAAACGTGTACAGTGCGTTCCAAACGTTACCTGTGTCACGGTAGCACCTTGTTGATACAGAGCGGAACGAAGCACAACTTCCGCCGGAAGACGGAACCCGATCCAGTCAGAAACTTAAATATCGCGAATCAATATCTAAAAATAAAAATGTGACTTAAACTATGGAGATTGAAGCTCATCAATCTGTTTTTTTTACCTTCATATTTAAAATAATAAATAAACGTTACGTTAATTTCTGTGTTGTTTTAATGACTGAAAAATGGTTATTATAATTAACAATTATAAAAACAAAAATCCGTGTTTCCTGCTAAATATAAATCAGTATTTGAACCCTGGCCTTTGTAACATATATTTACAGCTAACATTTTTAGCCAATAATCAATACAAAAGATTATATATTTTTTAAAAGTTCAATGTACATTAAAAAATCAAATTAAAAACTTTTTAAAAAATAAATAAGTTTTTTTAAATTAAATGTCAGCTGAAATGAAGACAGAATTATTATTTAATGTAACCACTGATATATAAATAAATCAATAAAAGTTATTTTTTTCACTGTAGTTAATGTTAGTGTTTGGCTCCAGTGTTTTCAGTTGATTATTTTACAGTTGAAAACATCGGATTAACTCCAACCTGACCTGACTGCTGCCTTCACACACACACACACACACACAGGTCATCACTTTCATTTCAAAGTTAAAGAAAAGGACAAAAGCCAGCTCCAGACTCCTCCCTCTCCTCCCCCTCCGCCCCCCCCCGACTCTCCAGGACTGTTCTGTGAACAGACAGCACATGTCCGTCTGCAGTCAGTGGATCAATCTAATCCTGCAGAGGAGAACGTGATGGAGCGCCACAATCACAGCCCACAAAAAGGCCGTACATACACACACACACACACTCAGAGCTGACAGGAGGAGTTGGTCTTTACAAACGCAGGAGACACCCAGAGCTGGGAAAAATGTATTTTACCTGGGGGTGAGGGTGGGGGTGAGGGGTGAGGCAATCACATCTCTGACTGCTGTAAATATCCACTGAACACAGTCCATTTTGGAAGAGACACACGCACACAAACAAAACAACACAATAACAAAACACACATCAACCTGAGTGAAATATAACAATGTAATAATAATAATAATAATAAGCAGGATTATGTTGTAATTCATAATAATAAAATCATTTTTTAAATACATTTTTAACATAAGAATTAAATTAAATTAAATTGTTTAAGCTTCATGTCCTTATATTTCCATCCTGTTTGACAAAATAAATGTGATCAATTCAATTTAACTTCAACATGTGACACTAGTCTACTCTGTTGATTGAGCTGAAGAAAACAGACAAAGATGACATCATTTGGTGTCATAATGACATCATCACCCGGTCATGTTTCCTGCACCGTTGTCAAAAGTTATGTTGTTTCAAAGTTGGTACTTTTTAATAACATTTTTGTGCTTTTATTGTGAAATTCTGTCTCATACTGATGAAAAAAAACCCTTCCACAGAGAACTGACACCTGCAGGAACTTTCCTAAAATTCCTGCCTCATTATCAGTTTTCCAGACACCTCTCCGTCTCCGTCTCCGTCGTCGGGCAGAAGTTCCCAGGACTGGTCACAATACAGTGATGATGTATTCATGTATGAAATTTGGGCCAATAAAAACCTTTGTGCCTCCACACTGGCTAATTATATGACAGATTGGAGCCCCGTTGTGTGTGGATTCAGTGGGGGA